TCCGGAGTTATGTCCCGCCTAATCTGTTGATCGACTCGAGTCGCACACCTAGCAGTGGTGGGTGAGTCTCCCAACAAGGGTTTTCTGCATCCACAAGGACTCGAACCCGAAACCTTGCTTAAGCAACATCAAGTTGCTTACCACTTGAGCCAACGCCTGTTGGTTATGCTTAATCGATTTTGAATACGTGATTAATTGATCGCTAGAAAATGTTGAGAAATAGGAAATACTCAATTTCAAGTTTACTGATAACCAACTTATATATGAAAAAAAAAAAATGCTAGAAGATTTTTTTAAAGGTATTGTTAAAAAATAATCAAGAGTAGTAAGACTATGTTTGGTAGACAAATAAGTTAAGTTATAGCTTATTTGATTAGCGTATAAGGTCCTTGTATTCAAATAAGTCCCGTTTGGTAAGACGGGTTTTTTTTTATATTTGATAAGCTTTCTTAGATTTTTAAATAAGCTCGTTAAATTTTTTATTTCAACTAGTCTATTATCTAATTTTACCAAACACTTTTATCATATAAATTAACTTTTCAGCTATAAATCATAAGTTATAAGCTAAAAAATTACTGATAAACTATCAGCTAGCTTATTAGCTATCAGCTAGATTATCAACTAGTTTTACTAAATATAGCCTTAATAGTAGTTCATATTAAGGCTATGTTTGGTAAAACTAGTTGATAAGCTAGCTTATAGCTTATCAGTAATTTTTTAGCTTATAGCTTATGACTTAAAGCTGATAAGCTAGCTTATATGATAAAAGTGTTTGGTAAAAGTAGCTAATAAATTAGTTGGAATAAAAAAATCAACTAACTTATTTGAAAAGCTACCTGATGAAACTTATCAAATAAGCTCGAGCATTTTAAATAAGCTCGTCCTACTAAACGAGACTTATTTAAATACAATGAGCTTATAAACTAATCAAATAAGCTATAAGCTAGCTTATTGGTCTACCAAATACAGCCAAGTTTAAGATTATTTTTGGTGAAATTATATCCATAGTTGATTCTTATTTCAATTCCTACCAGAATATACAATAAGTTACACATGGCTAGGGAGGCACATTTTTTAATCACGTAGAGTAATTGTCTTGGTCAAAAGTAGAATTTCATTGTTACCATAAAGGATAAACAAACGTTACTATTTAATCGCACGAAACGCAGACCAGTTCTACATTTTGTATTAACTCACATGACAAAGCAACCCTAGATGATCAACTCCTTTTTTTATTAGTATTATCTTTTTCTGTACATGAATTGATACGAAGAGAAATGAGCGCCGAAATTTATTAGCCGTGCCTTATCATTAGGTTATAATTTAATTTGTACTAATTTATTCCTAAATAATATAATAATAAATAAATAAATAAATAAAGTCTTGTTATGTAGCGCTATGCAAGGATGATGCCGACCAGAGTGCTTTGGTGTTCCTCGACAAACATGATCGTCTCCGACCCCTCGTTTGATCACTATTCTATTTATCATTAATATTTTATGTTTCTTTTATTTAGTATTGTTGGGCTTGTGTTATTGGGCTTTTAAGATTTATTGTTAGGTCGTTAAGTGTCGAGCATATAAGGCTCTTTCTCTTTGTCATTGAACGGATGATTGCTTATGAAATAATACAGCGTTTGAGAGTTTTCTCTGTTATCACAAATCCCATCGTACGCTTCCTACATCATCTGGTATCAGTTAACCAGGACGATTTTCGATGTCGCCGAAACGACGAGATGCCGAGATTGACGACCGTTTTAATCGTTTGGACGATCGAATGGGAACGATGGGCGATCGCGTGGCAGATTTGTCTGCGGGAATCGAAGACATTCGTCTCACGTTGGCTACCATGGTGCAGGAGAGGCACGCGAATCGCGACTTCGCCGGAGCCCGAGGCGGTCGCGGGGGTCATAGGGCTGGCCGTGGTGGTCGTGGATTTGCAGAGGCGTTCCGCCAGCCATTTCCACCACCTGAAGACGACAGTGATGATACATGGTCGGAAGACAACCCTTTTGCCGAGGGTTTTGTTCGAGACCAGCAGGAATTCCGCGAGTCCCCTCGTCGGCGTGAACAGGAGGATGGTCGGGGCCATAGGGTCCATCGTCATCGTGAAACCCTAATTCGCGGCTGCCATCGCTGTGGAGACCAGGAATTTCGACGCGAACCGGGCGGCGGG